GACGATCCTGTTAGTGACGGAGGTAACATCTACCCTATAGACCAACCTCTTGATCATTCAGAACTTCGACTCATGCTTTTCCATCTCTATATAGGAGAGCGTGGGGAGAGAGAGATGAGTCCTGATCCTGCTTTTCATGATTTTGCATCTTCTGGTGAGCCCGACTCACCACACCAGGTAGAAAAGTCTGCAGAAGCTGCCGACATTAGGGAGACTGTCAATGTAGGACCCGGTTCGATAAATCCAGGTACATCTACCATTAACAATATATCTTTTAGATAGCACACAAAGGAGTCGAATGATTCAGAATTTGTGCATTCCCTGATTGTCTCTGTGCTTCTCGCTCTTTTAGATAATTTGCAGGAGGCAAACGTGGATCTTGGGAATAGAGAGGCTGACGCACCTATAAGAGGTAACTCATTTCTATCGGTTGTAGTCTCTTTATTCTTCCTTCGTACTTATATTCTCTTGTGTCAGATTTCTCGACTGATGATTTTGACGAGGAAGGCTTGCTTGTGGACACTCCTATGCTCCACTTCATGTATGGCTCTCCTCAGATTGATGACCAGTTGCCTGGAGATGTATTTCCTGAGTCTACGCTCCCTAAAAATCCCGATGATGGTTTTTCTGAAGGTACGTAGCTCTCCTCAAGTTAATTATAGGACCAGTCAATTTTTTGACTAATGCAACTATAATATGATGCATCTGAGAATTCTATTTTGTATTTGACAGGAGCTTTTGTCGAGACTGATCCCGTTGAGCCGGCTGTGAGACCAAATACACCAGTTGATACACCCACAGCCGTTACACCTCCACTACCCCCAGTGACCCAAGGGGCAGAAGGTATATATTAAGCAACTGAGAAATGTCATTTACTTCCTTATTAAGGTTTTCTTGACGAATTTCTCCTTCTTGTGTAGAGCTTTCTTCTCGGCTTCATGTCCTTGTGAAGGAGTTATTATCAGACAGCGACCCAGAGAAGATTGTCCTCTGCATAGAAATCCGCTCCTTCTTCTCCTTTGTGAATTCTATGATTGGCAAACTCTTCCACGACGGACTTTCCCTTCACCAGTTTAAGCCATTCCTTGATCTTAAGATAAATTCAATAAGGGATGCAGGATACCCGGATCTGGCGAAGGCTATAGTTGATGATCTTGACTGCCTAGAGCATGAGCTTCAGACGTTTCGCGAGCTCCGGGATGTAGGTGCCTCTTCATTCATTGCTGCCGACTTGGATACTCACTTACAGACATGGCGCGATACTCGACTTTTTGCTGAGCTCGAGATTCAGGTGCAGCGGGATCGAGTGGACCGAGTTGAGGCCAACCTTGTTGCTAGATCATCTTCACTCGACGAGCTTGATTTTTCCATTACTTCTTGTGAGACCCAAATAGACCAGCTCCGAAGAGAACTCCGTGAAAAAGAGGAGACTTTGGGTATTCTTCATATGACGAAGGTACAGGATCAGCGAGCCCACACTGCTTTATCTGAGGAGTTGAAATCTTTGAAACAGACACTGACCGAGACGGAGGAGGTTGCTGCGAAGACTTTAGCCACCACCGAAGAGTCCATCAGAGCTGAGCTGAGGCAAGCTTATGATGAGAAGCTGTCTAAGCTGTTCAAGTCCGTTCCGCATGTGACGTTAAGCTAAAAGAGTTAACCCTTTTAGTGCTACGATATTGAATACGTAGACTTCGTCTTTCTCACGGGAATAGACTACCCGGTGACGCGTGTTAGGCGTTGACTTTAGGGTTTTTGGCTAACCCCCAGCCTTCAACGGGTTTGATTAGCCTTTACCGACTACCGTTTGAGTCGGGCTAGCATGCGGATTGTCTAAATCCGTTCCGCATGTGACGTTGTGCTAAGAGAGTTAACGCTCTTAGTGCTACGATATTGAATACGTAGACTTCGTCTTTCTCACGGGAATAGACTACCCGGCGACGCGTGTTAGGCGTTGACTTTAGGATTTTTTGCTAACCCCCAGCCTTCAACGGATTTGATTAGCCTTTACTGACTACCGTTTGAGTCGGGCTAGCATGCGAATTGTCTAAATCCGTTCCGCATGTGACGTTGTGCTAAAGGAATGAACTCCCTTAGACTTGATGCTACGACTTCGAATACGTAGACTTCGCTATTGTTATGGGGATAGGCTATCCTGCAACGTGTATTAGACGCTGACTTATCCCTACTTAGGCTTCGGGATAAAATACCCCAGAATCGAACTTTGGTGTCTTTTTCCATGGAGAAAGACTAAACCGGCGACGCGTGTTAGGCGTCGGCATATCCTTTCTTAGGATTCAGGATGAAATTCCCCATGCGTGTAAGGCATGGATTTTGGTGTTATTAATAACAACCTGCCACAATGTTGAATATGTGGACGGGTGTTCTTTTTAATGGTTAAGAACTAACCGGCAGCGCGGGTTAAGCGCAGACTTATCCTTGCTTAGGTTTCAGGATAGAATACCCCAGAATCGAACTCTGGTGTCTTTTTCCACGGAGAAAGACTAAACCGGCAGCGCATGTTAGGCGCAGACTTATCCCTGCTTAGGATTCGGGATAAACTTCCTAGGATGAATCCTAAATTGATAAATTTCAGAAAAGATTGGCGCAGGAAAGGAAGAATTTTATATTCTATTTCCCGGTCTTCTTTTAGGGTGAAGGCGAACCCGAATACAAGGAAGGGAGAATTTTATATTCTATTCCTTGATCCTGAAAAGGAAGAATTTTATATTCTATTTCCAGTGCAAGAGAAACTAGAAGTGGGATCTCCACTCCGAGAATCTGGAAAAAACTAGATAAACTTGCCTTTTATAGGATTGGTTATCTAATCTGAAAAATGAGTTCTTCGTTTATCGAAGTGAAACTTCAACTTCGGTTATAGCCATGAGAAGGCTTAACCAAAGAGAAAAAGAAGGGAGTTCTTTCGTTTATCGAAAGGGGACTCTGAACTGAAAGTGAACCTCTTGTTCATGAAAAGGGTCAAGAGGGCCAGAAAGACATTTTTTTGGTGGACTCACTGTCAATTGGAATTGATCCGTGAGGGATTTTGGTGGTGAAAAATGATTTTGGGTTATCCTCTAGAATATTAAGTGCAATATTCTTCAAGAAACTTCCCGGTAAATGGGTTATTCTGAATGTACTAGGGATAGTACTTTTTCAAGAACTTCTCATTTATTGGCATTAATTGCCTGGTGCCTTCTTGAGTAATCAAGCGATATGCGCCGTTTGAGTAGATCGTGTCTATCACAAACGGTCCTTCCCACTTGGGTTCGAATTTACCTTTCTTCTTGGAGTTGAGGATTATCGGTCGACGAGCAGCGAGGACCAGATCTCCTTCCTTGAAGCTTCTCTGTCGGACTCTTTTGTTAAAAGCCCTAGATATTCTGGCTTGATAAAACTCGATGTGTTGTTGAGCTTCCAAGCGCTTTTCATCCAATCTTTCGAGTTCTTGTGTGCGTATGGTGGTGCGATAAGCCCAGAGTGCTTCACCGAGTTTATCATCCCAGTCTCATTTATTGGTCTTCACGAGCTTTGACAGGATCTTAATGATCGTCTTGTTAAACGCCTCAGCTAATCCATTCGTAGCGGGATAATAAGCTGTCGACGACACATCTTCAATTTTGAACATGTCACAAAACCTGACGAAGGCGTTGCTTATGAACTGCGGACCGTTGTCATGAATGATCCGTCTCGGCACGCCGTGTCTGTATATGACATGATGCTTGATGAAATTGATGACGTTGTTCGTCTTCACTTCTCTAAGCGGGATCGCTTCAGCCCACTTTGAAAAGTTATCCGTGATTGCGAGGATGAATCGATCTCCTTCGACTGAAGGGGGAAAAATAGGACCGACAATGTCCATCCCCCATGTCTCAAACGGCCAAGACGTGATTGACGTGTGCAACTGCTCTGGTGGTTGATGCATATAATTTGCATGTACTTGACAAGCATGACACTCTCGGGCGTATTCGATTGCATCACGAACCATTGTCGACCAAAAATATCCCATTCTCCTGATGCGATCATACAGTTTGGGACCAGGCTGATGCGCACCATATTCTCCTTCGTGTGCTTCCTTAAGAACTTCTTCTGCTTATTTGTTCGAAAGGCATCGGAGTAATAAACCATCATACCCTCTACGGTATAACGTATGGGTCTCGATATTATAGAAGAATCTTGGTGCTCTTCGGCGGATTGATTCTCTTTCTTTTACGTCCTTCGGTAAAATACCATATTGGACATAGTCAATGATATGAAAACGCCTGTTCGCGGGGAAAGTTGGTGTTTTCTTCATTATCGATTCCATTGCACTCAGTTAACAACTTTATGCGTTACAAAGAGATCCGGTCTTTTTATGAGATCCGGCTTACAATGAAAATCATACCGAACAAATCACAAGATCCTGTTATTCGGTCTCTTGCTTCTGTGGGTTGTTTGCCTGCGCCGGGGTTGCTTACCGTGGACCACCGCGTGATCTGGATCCAAGCAGATCTACGACGTATTACGGGTATTATCCCACCAAGGAGATAATAGCCGGGAGGGATCGTTTCACCAAGGAAACGACCGCTCGAATCTCGGGATCTAAGAGCCAAGCTTAGATCCGGAGTGTAACGACGTAGATCTGAGGATTAAACTCTCTCGAACTCCTGCCTTTTTCGGTGCTGGTGCTCGCTAAGAATCAAATCCGGGTCTCCAAGTCTTCAAGCCTTCAGATCTCCGAGTTGAGGTGACAATCCGGCAGAGTTTCGGCTCTCTCCAAAGTTTCAGAAGAAGTCCCTCAAATGAACGAGTACTAGGCCTATTTATAGGCTCTCAGAACTGTGCGTTTGCACAGTTCTGAGCCTAGCCACCCCTAGGTGGCTCGGCCATAGCCGAGCCACCCAGGGGTGGCTCGGCCTTGGCCGAGCCACCTCAGGGTGGCTCGGCCTTGGCCGAGCCACCTCAGGGTGGCTCGGCCTTGGCCGAGCCACCTCAGGGTGGCTCGGCCTTGGCCGAGCCACCATCTCTTGAACGATACATTGATTTGCCCGAAGCAGTACGTCCAGGCACAAATATTATCGTCAAGAAAGAAAAATCGCTTCAACATATAAAGAAAAAGTAGATACAAATCAGTGTATTAAACATAATAATAAACTAATAACTAATAATGATGAAAATTAAAATAAATGACTCACACATATATATCTCCAACAAGCCACCAGCGCATCAATCCGCTGCGATTTCCACGTCAAAAATATGTTGAAGAAATCGTGTCTCCTGGCTAAAACGGCAAGGAAATTGTTGAAAGCATTGGCAAAGGCCCCAACAGGCACTCCGTTTTCCCATCGGATCACAGCCCTCCGATTAAGATCAGGGATGAGGCTCGATTCCTTAGTAGCATTGCGGCCGCGTCGAGGAGGTTTCTCGGTACCTGCGAAACAAAGAATCGAATGAAACAATGAATCAATATATATTTGCGAAAAAAATTTAAAATAATAACCGATAAACTATAAAAATTTATTCATACCTTTCAGTTCGAGGCATCTACGTTTTGCTTGTTCGTACCTTTGCAGCGCGATGGGGCGCATATCATGATAAGAATCCCAATCATCCCTCACCTTGGCCGGACCGTGGACTCGCTGATCCGTAATAGAATCTGGCGGTAGTGCCGCAGCTTCTAAAGCTACGCTATACGGCTCAAATCTCCTCTCCACCAATATATCTGCATGCGGTGGTGGTGGTATCTCTGCATGCTGTGTAGGATCAGCCTGTGTCTCCACGTCATGTGGAGCATCTCCGCGTGATGTGTCCTGTGGCTGCGAGTCATGTGTAGCATCTCCTCCTCCTGTGTAGTAAATGTTAAAAATATATTAGGCTCATGTTAATAGTTTATAGAAATGTACAAATATAACAAATAAATAAAAATACCTGACGTAGAGGCATGTGCGTCGCCTCCAGAATGTCTACCAAAAATTCTCTCAAGCGCTTTCTTACGTAATCCTTTTGTCATCTATACTTTGAAAACATAATGAATATCCAACAAAGGCAATAATGTAATACAGATGTCCAGTTAAACAGATAATGCAAATAATTAATAAAACAGCACATGGCAACAGAATCGCGTGTACATGATGTCCAGTTAAACAGATAATACAAAGGCAATAATGTAATACATGACACACTGTGTTACATGATAACCAGTCAAACAGATGATGTTGAGGCTCTACTCTGCGATCGTGTACGGATAGCCTGCGACCGTGTGCGTGCCAACGAAAGGACTGTTCTTATAGTTTTATCGACTCCGCTGCGGACAGGTTTTTTTCCTTTACGCCTTGGCTCACATATAATCGCAGGTACATCAGGGCGCGCTAGTGCAATTTCATCGTCCAGATTATTATTTTGTGTCAATGAAAACTCCTCGGTTATTTCGTCGGCCAAGATAACCTCCTCATCGTGATCTTCGTCAGACACGACTTCATGAATGTAGGCTCTAGGTGGATTCTTAAGGATAACCCATTCGTCATTTTTCATTATATCTTTGACATAAAAGCACTGTTTGGCGTGAGTAGCTAACATGTATTTTTCAGACTGATATATTTCCTTGTTAAGATTAAGGATTGTGTAACCGTAGTCATCCTTCGCCTTTTTTTGTTCACACCGACGAACCTTAAACATCACATGACTGACTTCCTTATTAATCCCATAGAAAATCTCCACGATGTCTTCTACCTGACCGTAGCAATAGATTTCCCCCTGTATCGGATTTAGATCTTTTGCACTAGCGTATGACAGTTGAGAGAAGGAGCAGAACACACCGCTGTTTTGCGTTTGTCGTCTCTCTTCGAGACCGACGATGTTAAACCTAAAGCCGTTGACACAGTAGCCTCCATAATGCTTAACCACATTAGAAGGACCTCTGGCATATAAACAAACTTTAGACAGGTTAATCTCATTCGTAATCCGTTTGTCAACCTTTAAGAAAAGAAGCAAATAGTTTACATATCTGTTGGCAGGCACATATATTTGATATACGAATCAGAAATGTAAAAAGATCTTACTTCACCCTTCAGCCATGCAGGGAATTGTCTAGAGTGTGTGTCCATAACTCTCTTATTTTTTGTTCTGCATTTAAGATTAGTCTGGACATGTCGGATGTGAAGCCTAGACAAGAAGCATTTATAACGGTTAAATAGAGATAATTATTGTGAGGTGATATAATCTGATTCAAACAGTTAAATACTTACGCCGCGTATATGTTAAATGTAGTATCATTGCTCAGGATATATGTGTGGGCTTGATCTAGCTCCATTCTGGGGAATCTAGTGTCCTCCCCACGATCATTGTAGAATGTACCGTCAATTATTCGTTGGGGACGGTTTAGCCTTGTCTCTACGCCCCGCAAGTAACGAGAGATAAAATTCAAACTCTCGTTACTTATGTAGTTCTCTGCGATCGACCCTTCAGGATGTGCACGATTATGTATCAGTTGTTTCATGAAACCCAAATACCTACAAGCATATAGTTTCATGATTTGTGACAAAATTGAACTAAAAAACGTAATTTGACAAATATTAAATGAATATTATAATAATAAATACCTCTCCACGGGGTACATCCAGCGATATTGAACTGGTCCAGCGATGCGGGCTTCGTATGCTAAATGTATTGTGAGATACACCATGACCGTGAAGAATGAGGGTGGAAATAGTATTTTCATTTTACACAGTGTATTAGCAACACGTCCCTCTAATTCTTCAAACTCCCTGACATCAATCACCTTAGAGCACAGTTGCTTGAAGAAACCGCAGAATTCTATTACCACCATCGCGAGTTCCTTGTCAGCATGTCGCAACGCAACCGGGAGAAGTTGATGTAATAGAATATGATGATCATGTGTCTTGAGTCCCAAAATCTTTCTGTCCTCAATATGCACATTTGCTGAAATGTTTGACGGACTTTAGAAATAAACACATATTGTGGACCTCATCCTTCGACAGTGTGACACGGGAGGCTGGGAGTTCAAACTTTCCGTCGCCCTTATCTATAGCTTGCAGTTTCGGACGAATGTTTAATTCTGCTAAGTCTCGACGTGCCCTTAAGTCATCTTTCGATTTTTTCCCGTCCTGCAACAAAGTGTTCAAGAGATTCTCGCATATGTTCTTCTCGATGTGCATGACATCCAAGTTGTCACGTATTTTTAAACTTCTCCAATATGGCAGCTGATAAAATATGCTGAATTTTGACCATCCATGCGGAAGTTCGGTGCCTTTTGAGACACGCTCATGCGACTGGACATTGCGAGGCTTATTTCCTTTTGATTTTCCCTTTCCCTTCAATTTTTGCTTCAATATTTTTCTCCTAACACCAAATGAATTTTCTTTGTTGAATCTTTTTTTTTCCAAATTTTTTTCTAGGTAAAGGATATAGAAGCTTAAATATTTCTTCTCCGGTCAGCCTTGGTGGTGCCGGTCTACTTTCTGGATTGTCGTCGAACTTTGCTACTAACTTTCTGAACTTGTGCCCTGTAGGCAACCATCTTCTGTGTTGCCAATAACAAAACTTACGGATGTACTTCAGGAACTTTCCCTTATAGTCTGACATGCAAATCGGACAAGCAATCTGACCCTTCGTCGACCATCCAGACAGGTTAGCGTATGCCGGGAAGTCATTAATTGTCCACATGACCATTGCCCGCTTACAGAAAGACTCCTTACCATAAGCATCATAAGTGCTGACACATTTTTCCCAGAGAAGCTTCAGGTCGTCAATTAATGGTTGGAGGAAAACATCGATGTCATTTCCAGGAGAATATCTTCCAGGGATTAAAAGTGACAGTATCATGTACATGTTGTACAGTGTCAGCAACACTGGCTAGGTAGACCAAGCAGAGCTCATTAATCCAAACAGATTAAATCCATCGCTAGCAAGCCCCAGCCTAATATTCCGAGACTCTTTACCGAAGTCGGGGTATATACGGTCAATGTGCTTCCATGCCTCACCATCCGCAGGATGTCTTAGCTTCCCGTCCTCTTTACGGTCGGTCGAGTGCCATCGCATATTCTCAGCCAGCTCGGCAGATATATAAAACCGCTGCAGCCTAGGAATAATTGGAAAATATCGAAGAACCTTCGCAGGGATTCTGTTCTGCTTATTGGATGCACCGCCTTCGGATGTGCTTGCAACTTCTCCTTTCCAACGTGATACATGACACGTCGAACATTCCTCCAGAGCTTCATTACCCTTATTGTACAAGATGCAGTCGTTAGGACAGGCATCTATCTTCTTGTAATCAAGCCCCAGCGTATCAACAATCTTGTGAGCTTCGTAATAGGTCACGGGGATGCTTTTCTCGCCATCTGGAATGACTTTCCTCTGCAAATCTAATAACATCTCAAAATGTGTAACAGCCATCCCACTGAGTGTTTGGATATGAAGAAGCCTCAGCATAAAAGAAAGCCTTGTGAACTCCTTACACCCCTCGTATAACGGTGACTCGTTTTCTTCAACAAGTCTCATCAATCGATCTACATCTTGAAACATATCATTAGTGTTGACATCACTCACCGACGGCGCTGCAAGAATATCTTCTAACAGTAGCTTCTCCTTTCCAACGTGATACATGACACGTCGAACATTCCTCCAGAGCTTCATTACCCTTATTGTACAAGATGCAGTCGTTAGGATAGGCGTCTATCTTCTTGTAATCAAGCCCCAGCGTATCAACAATCTTGTGAGCTTCGTAATTGGTCGCAGGGATGCTTTTCTCGCCGCCTAGAATGACTTTCCTCATCAAATCTAATAACATCTCAAAATGTGTAACAGCCATCCCACTGAGTGTTTGGATATAAATAAGCCTCAGCATAAAAGAAAGCCTTGTGAACTCCTTACACCCCTCGTATAACGGTGACTCCTTTTCTTCAACAAGGCTCATCAATCGATCTACATCTTGAAACATATCATTAGTGTTGACATCGCTCACCGATGGCGCTGCAAGAATATTTTCTAACATATCAGTCGTGTCAACTATCGGATTGCTGACTTCAGTGAATTCTTCCTCTGATTGCATCACCGGGACGCCTTCACCGTGATGACTCCAAAATACATAAGAGCTATCAAATCCATTGATTGACAGATGAAAACTTACGTCACTCCTAGCGAGCATTTTACCGTTCCTGCAATTCTTACAAGGACAGAAAATCGACCCGCTTAGCGACCGTAGAGGATTTGTGTCAGAGTAGGCTAAGAAAGCTTCTATCCCATCCTTGTACCGGGTGTCTAGATGTCTTCGATCACGTGGTATGCTCATGAACGATTTGTCAGGAACTGTCCGCATCTATAATTTAAAAATTAATGGAAGTGAGCATATCCCGACATATATCATTTTAATTTAGGGATGTAAACGTGTGTTCAGAGGACCGCATGTGTGACCGGCTGTCAGAGGAAGGCTTCTATCCCATTAGGTATGTAAACGTGACGTGTATATGTATTTACGTGTGTTCAAGTGTACTTTCAATTCGTCAAAATTTCGGCAGCACCTACCCGCTGTTCTCCGAGTACACTATAATAGGAAGGATATACTCATGCATATCCCTCCGTAAT